ATTCTCCCCCTCCCTCCCCCACCCCTCCCCCTTTGCACCTTCATACACGCACACACAAACACACACACACCCGCAGACACGCAAACGCCTGCGTGAAGGTGCGCAAGCCCCCAGTAATCAACAGAATTGATATTTGCCTATCAGTAGGCACACTGACGTTCCGGGCTGTTGTCTCCCAGTCGCGAACGCCTAAGACGCTCTGCACTGCACTGCGGGTAGTTGAGTGCAAGCCGCGCCTCTCTCCCTGCTTGCCTGCCTGTAGCTTCCGACTTTTGCGTTGAATAGCCTTTTGGATTTTACGTAGCAGTATGCTGGCCGGAAACTCTTTACGCATGACCAGAGGCATAAGTGATAGTTTGCTTGGTGATATAACCACGTCAACCACCTCACCCGCCTCCTCTGTCTACTCCCCTTCCTTCCCGGCCTCCCTCTCCTCGCTGTCCTCGCCGCAACTGCGTCACTCAATAGGTCTGTGCGCCGAATGTGACACTCGCATAACCAACTGGGCATCCGCCTGTCAGGCCTTGGGTTGCATCTACCACAATGACTGCTTCGTGTGCTGCTGCTGTCGTGAGTTCTGTTCTGTTCTATTTTTCTTTCCTCTTAATCATTTTACCTGCCCCCCACCCCCATGTTCTTGCGTACCATCCTCACATACATCCTGAAATCCAGCAGTTAATTTTTTTCGCTGGCGGAAAGTATTTCAGTGGCGGCAGAGTGCAATTGCTTGACATCCTGATGCCGTAACGGTGGTGGTACTCCTAATTATCTAAATTTCTTAAAATTAGGTACGTTGTCTCTTGTAAAGCGGGGGAAACGCATTTGATACATTTTCGTCGTCGGCCTCGTTGTGAGATGTAGAACTAGTGTCCGCTGGGAACGGTTAACATCTAAACGTGCCTCAAAAGCAATACTTGTTAGGCGTAATTGCCGGTAAGATGCAGCCGTGTGCCACCAGCCTCTTTTAATTTCTTCTCGTTTCATCCGTTTCTTCAAACGGCACAGGTCTACTGTCAGATAAATTACTAGGAGAGGGGATTGGCAGATTTGAATTATTCGATTGACCCAATTAAGAAAGATTCTTGGTCTCGGTGGGAGTCGAGCCCACATAAACACGGGAGGCTTTTGCGCAGCCATTGAGCTACGAGGCTCACTGTGAGCCGTGAATTTAGTCGTACTTGGGTCGATTTACCCGTCCAATCTACTGCACCTACAGAATCCACCTTGCTGCCCAGGCAGGGTTTTCTAAGCAGTCATCTGGAATGCACCAGAATGACTACCAGACATATTTAATTATTAGGAGGGGGTTAGCAAATTTGAATAATTCAGTTGATCATCCAATTGCGAAAAAAATTCGGCAGCCTCAAACCTTCCCTCCCTACAAAAAACTGACGGTATTGAGCTTGCACCCGGACGCCGGTTGACTGATCTCGGCTACGCCGCTGATATCGCTTTACTAGCATCAAGCTTTGGCGATCTCCATTCTATGGTGTCACCAGTGGACGAGGTCGCGAAATCGCTTGGTTTGTCCATAAACGCTGGGAAGACCAAAGTGTTTTCATGTTGCGGCCCTGCCGAAGAGAAGGCACCTCTCGATTAGTAGCCGTCAGCTTAAAGAAGTCGACAGTTTCAAATACCTCGGAACAAAGTTGCTGTCGAATGGACCGAGTAAAGATGAAATTGTCTCCCGAATTGACGCAGGACGATGAGTTTTCCCCAGTCTTCGAAAGTGTCTATAGAACCGACGCAATATTTATATCTCCAAGAGATGCGCATGTACCGTGCATCTGTATAGTATGTTCTTCTATACGGATGAGAATGCTGGGCTATGCGCGTGGAAGGTGAGCGGAAACTGGAAGTCTTTGAACACGAGTGCTTGAGGTACATCCTTCAAATGAAGTATTTCGATTTCCTCGCGAATGAGACAGTCGGCACTCAAGAAAGACAACTGAGGCGGTTTGGGCACATTCTCCGCCGTCAACCTCACGAGCTCAGTGTTACTGCCCTCGATCCTAAACCGTTATCTAATTGAAAACGTCAAAGTGGGGATCAGCTCAAAACCTGGCTCGACTCAGTCCGTCGGGACATGGAAATGGTTCTTGCACCTTCGGTATTCGGTCTCCGGCGCTGGCGAAGAAGATGGCTCGAACCGTCCAGGTCTGCTGTCGCCATGGATCGTCGCGCGTGGAGAAGCACCCTACGGGACATCATTAAGGCCGGCTGGATCGGTCACTATCGCAATCGCAACAAGTGCATGCAGCCAAACCTTGACCTCGGCTCCTGGATTGTTCAGACATCAGGGTGACTCGACGGGGTGGCAAAGACCTTGGCAGCTGACTGCTTGCACGACCTGTGACTCAGCCTGCGGCTTGCTGACATCATGACGATAATCAATAATTTTCTGCTTCGGTGATTGACTGCAGCCGAAATGGCTCCGATAAGCCCACCCACGCACACATCGGTTAACGAGCTCAATCCGTTCCAGCAGCGAGCTCATCATGTGAAACACTCGTCTTGCTAAACTTGGCAGCAGTCCACTGATTGGCTGCAGGCAACCGATGACTCACGCCCTGGGAGCAGGACTCAGCGGCACAAGACAGTTCGACCGTCGATTTCGACCACGCGTCCACCACGCGCTTCAAC